AGATAGATACAGAGGTAAATAATTAGAGACAGATATTTTGAGACAGATATATAGAGATAGATAGATATATAATATATATATAATATATATATATAATAATATATATATATATAATATATAATATATATATATATATAGAGAGAGAGAGAGAAGAGAGAGAGAGAGAGAGAGAGAGAGAGATAGGGAGAAAAGGGGAAAAAATGAGAGAGAGAGAGAGAGCAAAGAAAAAAAAATCAAGATACACGCACCTTCATCCCTTTAACCCTTTCATTCCTCCATCATCATTCCCTCCCCCCCCTCTTCCCTCCTAATCATTAATCTCCCCTTCCCCCCCTTTCCAACAACCAATACCCCCTACAACCCAACCCCTTCCCCTCCAACCCTACGCAACCTACCCCCTCCCCTAACCCCCCTCCCCTCTGCCCCCCCCCCCCCCCCTCCCCACCCCACCACCCCCTACCCCTCTGCCCCACCCCACCCACCCCACAGCAACCTGGCCTACGTACGGTGACCCGCCAATCAGTCAGCCAATTTCTTTTAAATTGAAAAACTCGACATAGGAATCACATCACAGACTACCTGCGCCGATCCGCTGATAAACAGAAGTAGGAAAAAAGAGAGAAAAATCACCTTTTTTATCTCTTCTCTTCTCTTTCTTTCTTTTTCTATTTCTGCTTCATCTTCTTCTTTTTTCATCTTCTTCTTTTGCTTCTCCTTTTTCACCATTTTCTCCCTCTTTGTTTCCTCCTTTCCCCTCCCCTTCTTCTTCTTCTTCCTCTTCTACTCCATCTTCATCTCCTTCTCCTTCTCCCTCTCCTCCTTCTTCTCGCCCCATTGCTTTTTCACCACTTTTATCCCCTCTCTTTTTCCTCCTCTTCTTTTCACTCTCCTTTTCTTTCTCTTCCTCTTCCTCCTTCCTCCTTCTCCCCCCTCCTTCCTCCTTCTCCCTCCTCCCTCCTCCTTCCTCCACCCACCACCACTCCCCCACCCCCTCCTCCCCCTCCCACCTCCACCCCCTCCTCCTCCCTCTCCCACTCCTTCCCCCCCTCCCCTCCCCCTCCTCCTTCCCCCATCCCACCTCTCCCTCCTCCCCTCCCCCTCCTCTCCCACCTCTCCTTCTCCTCCTTCCCCTTCCTTCATCACCATCATCTTCTAAACTTTCCGGCCTCGATAACGTCCGGCCGAG